GGGGGGGGGGCCTGGGAGGCATCCAGGGTGATGGTTCGAGGCAGCAGTAATGCAGGAAATGGTGGAACCTGCCAGGGCTCCCCTGTGCCCTTGTGCAGGGCCTACCTGGAGCTGACATTCCCAGCTTGGAGAGCTGAGACGGCGAGGGCGGGCGGGCTGCTGGTCCCAGGGGCTCCGGGCAGGGGCAGTGCAGCCACGAGGCTCAGTGCAGGGCCGAGGCTCCGGCCCGGGAGAGGCCTATGTGCCTCTACACCAGGTGTTTGCTTCCCGCACAAAAGGCGTCACCGGGTCCACCCGACTCCACGGAGTGACGGTCCCTGCATTAAACACGTAAGAAAATGCACCGAACTTCTGTGTGCATCTACCCTCCCAGACCGTGTCCGAAGCTCTGTTTCAGGGCAGGGTTTGCGTGCCTGAGGCCCCTCTTGCGGCCCCTCCCCCAGGTAACACTCGGGACAAATGCTTTACTCCCCAAGGTACCCAGTTTACCTACAGCCTTAGTGCAAGGCCCTGACATTTTTCAGAATATGCAAGAAACAAGGAATTTTGAAAAGGGCAAAAGAGACTTAGTTATAATATTTCTATTTCACCAAAACTAGTGAAAGACGCCTAAACTTTCTTAAAGGTCACCTTCCGTCCATTTATTACAGAAACATGCACCCCATTAGGGTGAAACAGACAAGGTGCTCAAATTTCATAGAAACTGACTGCAAGATATTCATGGTGGCCACTGTCATTCATTCAGCAATGTGCTGAGACTCCACACTTGGGAATGCGGGAATCGGACGGGAGAATGTTGATTCTGGTGCAGCGGGGGGGAGGGGGGGGGCGCCCACGTGTGCGGAGGAGGAGAGACCCTCTGGGCTTGGGGTTCACGGTGGGGGTGGGAGGTGGCGGGGGACGGGCTGTGACAGTCACAGAGGGCACTGCTCAGCGCAGGCACGTGGTCAAGGATGTAATAAGATGCGTCTGGGAAGAGAACTCTCAGAATATGAATTACAAATGACGGCATATATAGCTGCTTAATGGACATAACCTTTTCAAAACACAAGTTCCCGAGGATGTAGAAAAGCGAAACAACAACCAGAAGACGTCCAAAGAGGGCCCTCTGAGTCTGGGGTGTG